AAAAAAAATAAAAACATTTGACAATTTTCTGAATGTTATTAGGAAATTATAGAGATTTTGCAAATGAAATTTGATAATTTTCAGATGAATAAAAGTATTTTTAATCTTAAAATCAAAATTCAGAAGAAAAAATTCATGAGTAAATCTTTAATTAAAAAATTGTAATAATTAACTTTTAAAAATCTGGTATTTTATGTACAAAAGCCTTCTAACAATTACTGATGATATACAACATTTCATGAAGATACATGTATGTTATCAAAAGTTATAGTATAACTGTTATCATGGTTACTTTGGTGGATACAGTTTCGGTGGAATCATCCAGCCTATAGTAAGAGTTAAATTCAAAGCTCAACTGATCATTCCCGACTTAAAAGAAAGAACTCTGGCTGATGAAATGAAAGTAGGAAGCCCAGTAACCATATGGTAATTCACGACACGTTGAAGAATGGCTACAACATCCCTGACAGTTAACAAGCTTCCAGAAGCCATAGTAGGAATAAGGCTTGTTTGTGTGTAATATCATCACTCACACAGGACTAAGTAGAGATCACCATCACTTTAGAAATCAAGATAAAAAATTAAAGCTTTTGAAACAAAAGCTAAAGAAAATGAAAACCAAACCTTCAATAACAAATGCAAATCTCAACAAACTGAATACAGATAAAACATTTTGAACATGTCTATTCAATACAATGCAAAAAAGATGAGTGTAAGTGCATAGGTGGAGCTACTGCACATGGAGGTTGTATCATTCTCCTGCTGGTGAGGGCTTTTGTTGCACTTCATGTTAAAATACATGAAATTTGGTGGAAGTTGCCTGAAGGCTAGTCTCATGTAAACCTCTTTGGCAGATGTGCAAGATAGTTATTTTGTGTAAAGAGGTGAGTAATCATCTCAGAATTCACAAATCTATTTGTAGTTAACCTCAATGTTATTATTGAATATGTAATACTACCAGAAAATAACATCTCCTCGTTTAGCATAAGCTGGAATGGCACTTGGCATACATGAAAATCCATAAGAATATAATATAGCTTCCTCAACACCCATGAATTCAGCCAACTGTGCTTCAAGATCTAAATGAACATCTGTTACAAAACAATAAAAAGTTTGAAAATATAGAAACAGCACAATCACATTAGTTTAAAACAGCAACATTTACTACTAGTAACAAACTTAAATGGAGTCAAATCTCAAGCTGAATACTGCAAACTAACCAAACAATAGTTTGATTAATTGTAAATAACATAAATACTATAACATAGATAACAGGAAGACATGTCTTACAAAATAAGTAAATTTGATGATGCTAAAATGATTACAATGTTAAATGTCCCTATGATTAGTTTTGTGAGGTCAGAAATAACATATACATGATATCACCTTAGCCATTTGTTAGAACAACTTAACAAGATACATTTCTATAATGTTACATACCCACGGTTCCATAGAATCCCCTTGGACCACAAGAGCCTACTCCATACTTCCTGAGTCCCTTAACTGCTGCTTCCTGTCAATATCATACAAAGTCCAGAATATCAATACAACCTCAGTAAACTAAAAAACAACAACTAACTTCAAGAATCAACGTATGTAGGTCCAATATAATTTGACTTAGTAAAACCCTCTTTAACTTGACTTTGCTCTTTATATTCTATTCAACAATAAAATCACACTTGGCTGATGCTATTATAGCTCTGTTGTCTCTTAGTCAGTCAGCATGAAGTATTTCCTGAATGAGCAAGTATGCAGTGAAACAAGTTGAAGAGACATGCTACAATGACAAACTGCTCAGAAAGTTTACACTTAAGAAATAATTTTCTTGGAAGCCTGCCCTTGTTGCTATTTTACCGAGAGAATCACTGAAAATTAATTTAAGTAAACATATATTATAAATATAAAACTTAACTTACTTCATTTTCCCCAGTTTAGAAAATAAAAATATTGATACAAGTTTAATAAAATTATGATTTTAGTTTTGGATACACTACAGTTACTTCAGTAGTGTAAAACATTATTTCAGTACTCATTATTACACCTTAGCCAATGTATATTCTGAATCAAAATGCTATTTTACAAATCCCACATTTAAATTATTTGTGAGGAAAAACTGTCTTTATCTATGGATTACTAAATTCTATGTCAATAAACCACATCAATTCTCATTTTGGGTTCTCGACGGTAAAGAAACAATCATAAGCCATAATTATTGTATGAAATGTTAGAAATGCATCATAGTTTGAATTAATTAGAATTGATCACAAGATATGTAAATCCTTATGTAATAAATACTCAGAAACAAAAAAAAAGCTATGTAGACAGCAAGAGTAATACAAAAATTATCACTGTGAATCAAAAGGTATTCTAAAACAATTTAAGGTAAATGCAATAAATGTGAGCTTGAAATAATTAACAAACTTTCAACATATATGTTGAAAACCTCACCTTTATTTCTGGTGAGTCAATTAAACCAAGATAGTTGTGTGTGCCCATATTCAGACATTCTGTACCATTGACTGTAATTTTTTTGCCTAAAGCCCTGAAAGAGAAATTGTGTTGTTTTAGTCTTTAGTAGCTTTTTCTGCAGAAGTCATGAAACCATGTATGAAAAACTAGGAATTTCTTTGTTTCTAAATACCTTTAAATTATGAAAATGTACATTAACTTCAACCATTTGTCATGTATTTATCTTAATGAATTCTAGTAAGAACTGGAATTGCTAAATACTGCTGGAAATTTAGTGACTTCTGATTTTAACAACTATTTCCTTTTCTTACTGCAGAAAAAACTTACCCCGACACAACTCTTGGCTTTAAAGCATAATGGTTTTTAGATGAATCTGGAACTAAAGGTTCTGGTTTCCATTCTGCAATCAGTTCTTCTTTTTCCTATAATAAATAATGCCAGAAAATCAGTTTGGCAAGTGTCTAAACTTATAAATGGTTTAAAGTATTGGCATAAATAGTTTAATCATGAAAAAGAAAGACTCAAAAGATAAACTCTCAAATTCAAAAATTTTTTCTCCATAGTATAGAGAAAAATAGCATATTAGTTTTTGATACAGCAAGGCTTTTCATGATAATATGGAAAAGTTACTGCTTAAAATCAATGTACATACTGTAAAAACAATGAAGTTTCTTTTAATACTACACTACTCAAACGAATTAAAATATTTAAAGTATACAATTCTAAAAACAATTGAATTAGAACAACAATTTCAATCTTATAATAGTAACAAAATAAACAAAGAACTCAAGTTATTAATGAAGACTACAAGTTTGCTAGAATAAAAATAAATGAGGGTTGATATTTTACATCATTTTCCATCATTATCTATTTGCATTTACATATATCCTGACATAGCTGTCATAGTTACAAAGAGGAGTAAATAAAAAGTGTCCATTGCCAGGAATTGTACATCAATCTTGATAACTATTAAATATTTCACAGAACTCACCTTTTCCGTCAGCTCTAACCGTTCTGGTTTATAACTCTTGTGGAAAATTAACCATAAGACCCACACCATTAAAAATGCTTCTAATGCAAGATGATAAGAAGGTGCCTGAAAAACACATTTGTGAATAATGGTAGGTAAATAAATAATAAAAACAAACTTCAAGCTATAATAAATCATATCTGTAGTACTTACAAATATAGGGAAAACAACATTTACATTACACAATGAAATTTTAAAGAATTTAAGAATGACTACATGTTTCGGTAGCTTCCCCTACCATCATTAGGAGTAAAACTCTATGCGAACAGTGGGTTTTTATACAAGAATAATCAGACTAAATGTAATTCATCAGTGAGTCCAACCATTCTTGTACAAAAACCCACTGTTCGCATAGTTTTACTCCTAATGTTGGTAAAGGAAGCTACTGAAACATGTAGTCATTTTTAAATTTCTTTAAAATTGCTTTTCCTATATTTTAAAATAAAGTTTATTGAACAGTGTTGCCCTATTTATATATATCTTATCTGTAGTACATTTAATCTAAGAAATATGCTTAAGGCTATATACACACACACACACACACACACACACACATACCAAAATGTACCAATTGTTTTAATAAGTAAATTTATCATATTTAATAATGGTTTATACAGTATAACTGATACATCAAACAATATTTTAATGTATTAAGTTTAACATATTTCCATATTCAGATCAAACAAAATTCTAAATAATTGAAATTAACTACACATACCATATCTTAAGGTAACTCACTTCACAAGTTTATAACTCTAACATAAAAAATATTTGTGAAAAAAAAGTATCATACACGAAACACTGAGCAATATTTTAATTTTAACACACTTTTACCTTTAGAAAAGCTTGGAACATTTCATAAAGCTCCCATGTGGTATCCATTGTCTCTCTTATAATACAGCTGACTCACACTGTGTAGGTATAATCTAGAAAAAAAAAACAGTAAGTAGAAAAAGTGATTATGACTGCCACCAAATCCATACATGTACCTTTATTTACATAAGCAGTAACCTCTTCAAAGAATATCAAAAGATTAGCAGAGTGAAACCATACTGAATATCCAACAAAATATCAAACTTCATTAAATGACTTTACAAAACATCTTTTGTCACACTTTCAAAAACTTTTCCCACCACTAATGTAAGACAAATAGACCTATAATTACTGGGACAATTTTTATCCCTTCCCTTGAAAAGAAGAGTGAAATTAGCCAATTTTTATATCTTCTCATTCTTCTTCTTTGAAAGTCTCTGTATCTTGTCCCTCCTCCAACACATTTTCAAGCCCGTTGATCAAGGACAGGGTAATACCCTTTTTCACTATTACCCTACCCATCACCTCTGGCACAGAATATAACTAAAGTAAAGCTTTATTCCATATAATTCATGGCTCTCTCACTCAGACTTTCAATCCTTGACTCTGCACACTAAAAATTTATTTTATTTTTACTAGTTAAAGCCTTAATCTTCTTCAACATACCAACCAAACTCCCAATTATTTAATCCACCTGTTCTTGAAAACCAAGATGATCCATACCCCACTATATCCTGACTATTTCATAAAATGTTTAATATTACTTGATCTGAAATAATTCTTTGTAAGCTAGGTGTTTTATACTTACTAGTAATTCAATTCTTTTAAATACATATTTGGTAAAAAAAAAAAAAAGGCTTCTAATTAAGACAAAATTTTATAAAGAATATATTTCTCTTTTCATCTAGTTTGACTGGAATTACAAAAACATCCCAATCTTAATTAACCTTTTTACCATTGAGATTAACCACTCAAATGTTCTTTCTCAAAACACAAAGTTTCTACAAGGTGGCTTTGATAAAATATTTTACAAGTGGTTTCATTAAAAATATTGTTGGTACTTAGCACTCTTGCACAATCACATCTTTATAAAGAACAAAGTCTAAGTTAATCGAAATGGTGTATTTAAGTGTTTTACACCCACAAAAAAGAAACCTATCATTCTATAGGTATTTGAAGAACTTGTAGCATTCCACCACAATTTAATTCTTCATATTGTTAGCTGACACTAGGCAGCTGGTACATAATTGAATAGAGTTGTTTAAACATTTGTTTAATACCATGTAAAAGCTTGAAATGGTCGTTTCTTTTAATGGGGGTGTGTCTGTGAGCCAGACAAGTTTCAGAGAATTCCACTCCTCATCAGTGACCCTGGAAACTACCACCAATGAAACTTCAGACCAAACCAAGCCTTCATAGTAGTGAGGTGTCGAAAAATCAAAATGGTGTATTTAAGTGTTTTACACTCACAAAAAAGAAACCTTCTCCGAAACAAAGAAGAACAAAGTCTAAGATAGCTTACTCCCTTAGTAAGATTTCTTAAATTTTCACTCATGTTTTATCCTCCAATAGCTCAGTGATAAGGTATCAAGACACATGGTGGGCACAGCTTAGATAGCCCATTATGTACCGTTGTGCTTAACAAAGAAACTTTTTCTACTGAATGTATAGCTAGTCTCCTGTAGATAACCTGTCAGTGTCAATGACCTGTAAAAGAGACTTATAGAATAAGCTAATACAAATCTTCCTTTTCTTTTTGAAATCTCAACCTTAACACACCCTACATTTTTGCCAGCCATAACAATGTTTCATTCACAAATTTCATCACATTTCTTACCAACAAAATTAATCCTCATTCCTATTTATTAGCTTGTTCCAATAAAATACTTTAAACCATCTAAAATAATATTTTTACCAAGTTTAACATTTGTTAACTGCCACCAAAGCTTCTAGTTTAAGCAACTTATATATATATATATTTTTTTTTTATTTTTTTTTTTTATTGTTAGCACTAGAAGCCTTTATGAGTAAAAATTTTTAATTTAAAAAGAGGGAATAGGAATTGTCAAAAAAGTACAGAAACAAGTTGAATAAAACACAAAAGTTGTTTTCAAGCCTAGAACAAAGAACTCTAAAAAAAAAAAGGCTGGAAATAGTGTCTACATTATTTTTCAAGCTACAAATCCCTATTTTGACTCCATGTCTACAGTATTTATCAATTTTAGGTGTTTGAGTGGGTTCACTGAGAAACTTGGCCAGTAGTTATGAAAAAATTATAAAATCTCTCCTTCTCTTTCAAGAATCAACATAAAAATAGTCCTATAACATGTGCACAATCTCTTTAGTAGGTTTGAATAAAATATTTATAGTCGTTTTTTTATGTAGGCTTGTGAAACAATAATAATAATAATATAAAAAACAATTAGAGGAATTTTAAATTTTGCCTAACAATTGGAAAATCAACTTTTTTTGGTATTATCAATATTTTAGCAGCCTCAGCCATTGAGACTGAAGGTCCTGAGTGTTGTTTCAAAAACAAGTCTACCTTTTAAGATGGTTTTTGCCCTTATGTTCTATTAGAATTTTTGTCAAATTCTTGGGTAATCCCTATTATGAACCACTATGCAACCTGCTTAAAACTTTTTTGTCTATAACCCGAGTTCTTGATAAAAATCCTGAAAGAGTTGTTTGATGATTTCACCCATATAAGTTACAGTGGCATATATAGCACTGCTACAGGGCCCAAGAGTCAGGTAACAAAATAGAAAAGGTTTTAAACTATTCCTGCCACCATTGTCACTGCCAAGAAATCATTTTCCAAATTTATGCTAATTTAAATATACACAAGAAGTTTGTGTGTGTGTGTTTTTATAGCAAAGCCACATCAGGCTATCTGCTGCATTCACAGGGGGGAATCAAACCCCAGATCTTAGAAATGTAAATCCAAAGGCTGTCCCACTGGGGGACTACATGAGAAGTACAATGTCAAAAAAGAATATGAGGCCTAGCTTCATAGAACATAGAACAAGCAAGAAAATTGTACAGGGACAAGACTGTGGATGCTTTCACTTCCATGAAATGTTAAAGATGGGAATTTTAACTAATGCTTGGTAAACATATGTATTTACTCGGCATTCTAGTTAAGTGTCAGTACAAAACAAGTGGAGCCCACGTTATTTCTTCTGTTTTGGGGCCATGACATGCTATATACCCCACTGACTTTACAAAGTACTTCTTTGTACCTGGTTAATAGCTCTTTAGACCTGCCATAATCAATAGCATTAGCTATGATATGCACTATAACTTATTACTTAGTCCACGTCACTAGTTTAAACTATCTATTCTATTTGAACCTTAGCAATTCATTATTATTAATGCAAAACAAATTATAATCCTAGTTTTCCTATGCACTACACCACATGCATACCTTTTCATTATACTTAGGCCTATTAGTAGTGTTCCCTAAGTAATACTGTAGTACAAACACCTCAAGATTATTCTCTCCACTCTTATTAACAGCTGGAACTAAAAAGTTAAAATATTTCATACACTTATATAATTTAGTTTACAGTTCCCTAAACTACTTGGCATTAACCTGATATTTGGGCTACAGCTTACAAGTACAATGGCTCTCACTTTCCAAAACTAATAAAATTTAGTTACTTATAATAGTTATATCATAATAACATTAGTCCTTTTTTAAAGTTTCTTCTATTTTACTCCAAGTCCAATATTTAAAGCATAATAAACCTACATTTTACTTCTTTCCTGACAAGAACAACTTAAAGTTTAAGAATTCCTAGTTGTTTTTACTTGCAAGTTCTGTCTAATTTTGCAGTTTCTTTACAAGTCCAAAGCAAACTCTAACTTAGACTCTAAGTCTAACTTACTTAGGCTAGTAGTAGTAGAAACAGAAGTAGAACAAGCACACGTTTTAATTTAAGACAGAAGTTTGCAAAAAAAAAAAAAGATTTACCCAGTTACAGTTTAGCGTTTAAAACCTACTTTTTAGCTCAATTCTTAATTTCAGATTTAGATTGGGAATGTATACTTACTTTAAGATTACTGTAATTGCAAATTTATAGTATAGTGTTCGCTAAGTTAGTATTACCTCTCTTACTCTCCTAATCAGTTTCAAAACAAATACGCCCTGATATGGGCGCTACCTTTATAGAAAACTGTATATATAACTTTTTAGTACCCAAAGTTTTCTAGAAATATAGTCTGATTTACACATAAATTTATTACAACAATGATAAATCTTTGAATGATGTTAAAATATTTTATTTTATATAAATTTGTTTACTAGGACAGTTATAAAAACTTTATCGGTATAGTTAATTAAGTTATAGTAGATTTCCTTAGATGGCAGGATATTCATCGAATGTCTTCATGTTTTTATTTATTAACATTTTAGTGTGTTTTTTATTATTAAAACAATAGCTGAATCACTCACACAAAGAGCCGAGTGTAAAAAATCAAACTCATGAAAATCAAATGAAATAATGAAAATTGAATGTGACCATAAAATTTCACATGTTTTAGCCCAAAACTACACAATACTTATCTGCGCTGAATCCACCGCCGGGATCGATCCTCCAATTTTAACACGATAAAACGAAGAATCGCTTGAAGATGTGTATAGTCACATGTCTAAGAGAACCAAACGAGGGATTTTATGATCCTAGAAATAAAGGATGGTGCCTACAGTTTTAATTATTTTATTTTTTCCATAATATCTTTTGGTTTTTAAACTGTGTAACTTTGATAGATCTGTTTTCAACAATACTGTTACGATAGCGGAAGTCACGCAATGCTGGGAGCATGCGCGCTGGAGTTTCTCGAAGGATCATGAATTTTCCTGGCAACTCTTTTTTAGTATATAAGCTCGGCAAATAAAGCCAGCGAAAAAGATAGAATTGCATAGATAGATAGATATAGAGATAGATAATTGAGTCAAGCGAACAGTAGGCACAATAAGTAAAGTGTGTGAATCACTGTGAATTATAGCGTCTGTTTATAAAAGTAGTTAAGTTACAGTGACTGTGGAAATTCTGTATATTACAAAGTTGCATCGAGAAAGAATAAACTAGTTCTAATTAAGAAAGGACTTGTATCGCTGAAGTTCCTCGGAAAGAATTTATACCGGAAATTAACAAACGACCAGATACGTAACAATACTTTTTTTTCAACAATAGTTATACTACTTAATATGTCAAACGCATACTGTAGAAATGCACTCTATAGATTCGATTAGAATTTATTATTTAGACTATTTGAAGCTTTGTAGTGTCAGTTATGGTTTGTATTTTAGTGGAAAGCTCCTTGTATTCAAATACAAGAAGTAAAGGAGAAACTTTCCGTGAAATCCACACATCTGTAAAGGTAAGTAATTAATTCTTGAAATATATCTGGATATGGTCCTGACTTGTCAAGTGGCAGATACTGATAGTGAAGCATATCTGGACTTGTTTTACTGCCTAAGAGAGATGTAAATAATTATTAAATATTAATAATGAGGTCACTAAGTAATGCTAGAGAGTAACTGGTAATTAAAAAAAGAGCTATAAAATATGACTGCTTCATCCAATTTGGCTGCACCCCCAGTTTGAAGGGTTTCACATTAAAGTTCAATCAAAGGTGACGCCAAAGGTCAAAGATCAGAAGGCAAGCAGATCTAGTCCAATGGTATAACTACCATTGCTAAACGTGGTTACATCTTTAGTCAACTTGATGAAACTTTGTTGAAAGGACAGAAGGTGCCTGTTGTAGAAACACAAGTGTGGAGGACGACGTTTCGAAAGTCTTCTGTCTTTCGTCTTTAGGTCATTGTGTGATCTGATCCGAAAAACTTGGTAGTTGTTTCAAATTTTGTGAGTAAACCTAGGGAGTTCAGAAAATATTACATTTTCTCTTCGCCTCCTGTCGTGGCTTTATCTTTTAGATACATTGAAAATGAACTTTTATTTATTGATTTTACAGCAGGTGAAAGCAGTGAAGAATTTGGTTGTTTGTAATTACGCACAAAGCTACACAATGGGCTATCTGTGCTTTACCCACCACGGGTATCGAAATTCAGTTTCTAGCATCGTAAATCTGCAGACATACCGCTGTGCCCCTGTGGGGTGCAGTGAAGAAGACCGGAGACAAGACTCTTGAAGTAGAGCTTGGAAACCGCTAGCTTGGCGATTGGTCAACTGATCACGGGCAAAGTATCCAGACCACAGTGGCCCACCCCCTGGGTGCCAATACACCCTGTCCCAGCAAAGACACAAGACTAAGACCAAAATTTATTTGGTCAGTGTGCTTACGTGGCAGGGGTTCAGTTTGAAGAGAGAAAGGACAAGAGAGTTCTCTCTCCAACTGTGGTGCTCAGGAACACTTTGTTCCTCTTCAACCCCGCTCGTGGAATGTTAGTCTTCGTGATTCCGACAAAGAGGCCGGCAACTATGAAGAAGTATAATATTGAAGTTACATCCTCTTCATTTTCGTGTTTGGTGTTCAAATGTTGCTGTTACAGGAAGACACCAGGCACAGGTAAGCATTCTTTGCGATATTTTCTTGATGTTGTATTAACTAGGCCCGGCATGGCCAGATTGTTAGGGTGCTCGACTTACAATCTGCAGGTCGTGGGTTCGAATCCTCGTCCCACCAAACATGCTCGCCCTTTCAGCCGTGGGGGCGTTATAATGTGACCATCAATCCCACTATTCGTTGATAAAAGAGCAGCCCGAGAGTTGGCGGTGGGTGGTGATGACTAGCTGCCTTCCCTCTAGTCTTACACTGCTAAATAAGGGACGGCTAGCGCAAATAGCCCTCGTGTAGCTTTGCGCGAAATTCATAACATAACATGTATTAACTAATAATTTATTGCTAAATGATTAATTGATTTATTAACTAATTGATAGATTAATTAATTAATTAACTAATCAGTGATTCTCTCAGGGTGGGCGGAAACCTATAAGTTCTATGCCCCAACTTTAAGTGTGTGTGGTGGGGGGGGGGCAGAGTACCTGGAGTGAGGGTCTCACGAGGTGCTCCATAATGCCATGTCATCAGCATATTGTCAGGGGCGTGGTAGGTCGTTAACGAATGGTCAGTGTGTCTCACGAGGTGCTCCATAATGCCATGTCATCAGCATATTGTCAGGGGCGTGGTAGGTCGTTAACGAATGGTCAGTGTGTCTATGTCTATGGCAATTATTTTGATTTGAACTTAATCATTTCAGAAGAAATAATTGATCATCAGGGGTGCTCGAAGATTAAGCAGTCCTCCTTCACCATGTACGTGGACTAAAGGTATGGGCTTGAATTGAAGTATAAATTAAGAATGATAGATTGACTGAAATTAAGTTTGATACAAACAAGCTATGTAAATGCCCACCAGTGGCACAGCTGTATGTTTGCAGACTTACAACGCTAGAAACCGGGTTTCGATACCCGTGGTGGGCAGAGCATAGATAGCCCATTGTGTATCTATGTGCTTAATTACAACCAAACAAATAAAGCTATGCAAATATATGTATATGTAAAACTAACCGTGTCAGTAATTTAGTTTGAAGGAAGAAAAAACAAAGTTTATATTTGTCTGTCCTTCCCAACTGGGGCGCTGGGGAAATACTCTTCCCCTTTAATCCCGCGCGTGAGTTGTTATTGTTTCAGTGGATTTAGTTTTAGATCATGTTTGCAGAAATAGGCCAGTGAGAAGAGATAAGATGGGGCAGCCGTCGGAGAGCCATGAAGGAAGTCAGAGGTGGCGGGTGAAGTGTCTTTCTGTCCAGCGGTGGTTCGGTAGTCGAGACGAGTTGGACTTGATCTGGCTGGAAGGACCAAGGCTGGTACATGAGCAACGAGTTACTGGATTAAGTATTCATGCTTTGAAGGTTAATGTTTGCACAATGCGTATGCTGTTAGGATAGTACTGGAGTTTTAATTCTAATTTTTAAAAGGAATTATATATTATTGTTATTAATTTTGACTTGAACTTAAACTTAGGTCGGTACCTTTTCAGGGTTGGGATCACAGAATCAAAAAATAACTAGGAATAACTTTGCTCTGTGTGTGTGTGGGGGGGGGGGGACTGGAGTACCCCGAGAAAACCCACTTTCATGGATAGAGTGCCGAATGAAATACCCTGACCGTGCCCGATAGAAGCTGAAGGGAAAAGAAGACAACAAGGTTAATGTACTTCAACATTTTGAAGGTCTACATCTGGTTGTAATCCTGGTCGACAAAAAGTTCTTCTATGTCGTCATGGTGATGTGGAGGCTGCGGGGACGACTGGTCGAAAAGAACAATCTGTTTGATGTGCGAGGGAAGTTTCGGTTGTCGTTGGTAGGTTGTTCGTTTGTTTGGATTTTTTTTTTTTTTTGGAAACTCGAGTCTGGGTTTCACGGATCTTCACTGGGACTGGTTCTGTCGACATTGGTGTATAGTTTAGTGCTGGTTCTGTCTGTGTGGCCTGATTTTTCATTTTTCCCCTGGTTGTTGGTAGAGTGTGTGGATATGTGTGCAGGTTCATGTTGTTTCTTGACTTGTGTAGTCGGCGCGGACATTTCGTTTGTGTTTGTTTAGGTTTGAAGGGCCCCAGTAGCACAGCGGTATGTCTGCGGACTTACAACGCTAAAAACCGGGTTTCGATACCCGTGGTGGGCAGATCACAGATAGCCTATTGTGTAGCTTTGTGCTTAACTTCAAAACAAACAAAATAGGTTTGAAGGTGCTTCATGGAAGGAGTCGGGGAATGGTAGCGATGGTAGTTTTCATGAGCATCTTCAGTGGTTTGTTTATATATGATGAATGAACAGGAGGTTTGGGAGAAAGAACAGTGGAAGGTTGGAGGTGTCGTCTAGGTTTTCAGCTCTGAAATGAAAAAAGACGTAGACAAAACCGTTTGTTAACAGGTGTTCTGCAGTGATTTTAGAGGTAGTAACAATCTTGAAGTATTGCGTTGGCAGGTTCGTGATTCTTGATTTGATGTGGTGTACTTCGTGGATCATACAGTCTGGTATGGCCTCCAGGCTTGTGTGTATGTCTTCGGTTGAGATGGACCGGTCGAAGTTTCTAAAGAAAACAGAGAAGAGTTGTGAATTAGCTCTGGGAAGTTTACAAGTAATTGGTGGGTTGGAGTTTCATGGGGAACAGAGATAAGCTGCGTCTTCGG